CAGAATTATACACTTCTGTGTATAAAGCGAGAGAGGCGAGCGAGAATGGAGAGTGGCGAGCGAGATTCCTGGGAGAGAGATGCTGGCAAAATTTTTAGATAATGTTTGCTATGGAGCACAATTAAATCAAACCCTAGCTATTTCATTTAATTTAGGTTATTAGTTTGCTATTTTATACAATTTTCCCTATTTATAAATGACAATGAATCTTTCTTTTTTACCACAACTAATTTATAAGAAAAAAATGGAGAACATAATATAGAGAGAAAAAAACAGACCCCGAGGAGGAAAAAACAAAAGAAAAGAAAGAGCAAAGAAAAAATAGGTGGAAGATGCTGTGAGAGCAATAAAAACTATGGGAATAGAAAAGTAAAATTATTGATCATATATAAATGACTTCTAAACCAAAAAAAAGGTAGGGGAGGTCAACTTTTAAATTTTGACTGCTACACCAACACTACATGAAAAAAATCTCAACATAGTTAATGTAAGTATAACTAATACAAGCACCACTAATGGAAGGATTACTAATACACTATATTTTGCATTTTTCTTACACTCTATCAAACAACTTCTATGTATCTTGTACTCTATTAATTATTACGGAATCAAAGAATTTTGCATAGTTTGTCTGGTTCATGTTATATGATATGATGTTCTAAGTTTTGTACCCCCTTAAAAAAATCAGTCAGCCCTAGAAAATAATATGTTTTTTTAACTAAAGCATCATTAATTAAATAGACAATAGTATCAATTTAATATGATTTCTTAATTATGTCTAAAAAATATTTATTTGATAAGGATGAATTCGAAATAAAGTAATTTATAATTTATAATTGTTTAAATATAGCTATTTTGGGTCAAACATAAAAAAAGAATTCATATAATATGAATTTAAGGGAGTAGTAATCTCTTGTTTAAGCGATAACACTCAATTATACCTCACAATTGAAGTATAAACAACCGTTTGCAAAAATGATACCCAATTTAGAGTCGTGGTTGAACCATAAAAACTGACAGAAAGAAACATCATCAATTCTTCACTAACTAGCACAATGTCTTCAAATAAGAATGTAAAACTGGGGGAATTTGGAAAACGCAATCTTCATTTTATCAAGAGGTCAACACAACAAAAATTTCAATAAGATGAAAACCACTAGGGATGTGTGCAATAATGAGTTTTCAATCAATAGATAATTATTAATCATTCATACATGAATTACCTTTGGTTTATCCAAAATATTCTCAATCTCATGGATATGTAAATCTTGGGTTCTTTTGAACTCCAAGACCATGCAAATAAAACATGTACCAAATATTGTTTGAGTGGGTTAAACTATCTCTAACTCTGCCCTTAAATGACAAATCGATTAAATTAGATTACTCTAATTCAATGATCAGTTTCGTTAGTCCTCACTAATGAAATTTTTTCCAATCTTATTTTACTTTCCGAAGCGAATTAGAGTTGGAGAATTTAATCAAATATTTGCAACAACTGATATTTACATTAAGAGTTCAATGCAACAATAGATCTATGCAACACGAGTGATTTTAGAATTATTCAATCAAATACCCATTAAGATTTACACCCACATCATGCACATGTTCCCTAGCTAAAAATTTAGTTATTCATAAATAAGAAAATCGGAGATATACCAAAAAAGGAATATTTCATTTCATTTAGATTACCAAATTCAATCCAAGCTTGGATAAGTATATTATTGAATTTCTTGTTGGGCATACAAATATAATATAATATCTATTTTCTATTTTAAACTTTGCAATGATAAAAACTTCTTAGACTATCCTCATTTGAGAAGAAAATAATAGTACATTATTACGTATATTCCTATTTTTTGCCTTAATATCTTCCAAATAAAGTATCTTCACCATCAAGTACATTTTTGCCTCTCAACTTCTATATCTCACCTTTATTGCACCAACACTACAAGAAAACTGTGGATTATATGGGGATTTTCCTAGGGATTGATATGAAAATTCGTATAAACTTTTTTTCCTGCAATTTTTGGAAAGTACTCATGTAATTCACAGTTTTCTTGTAGTGCGTCAAAACATCAATGTAGAAGCATCCAACATCGATTGAGACACCATTTTCATGTTTCATTCCAGCTATATCTGGATTTGAATCGAAGGAACATTGATACACTTTCGTCCTATATCAATGCTTCTAAGTAGTTTCTCCTTTTCTAGATGGAGACGGAATGCCTATGCATTTATGCTGGACGTTGGTTATTCCACTACAATAAAACTGCCAATTGGCTGGTGTTAAATGTACAAATTGTTGGGGTTGAAAACCCCAAAACTTATTTTTATGGGGTTCTCAAAATTCTCGTTGTTAGATTTGTCACAATTAGATTTTAGGGTTTCTTTAGTAACTACCGCAACCAATCTGTGATATTTTTTAATTCTTTTTGTCAGGGTTTAAACTCCCGCTAATTGTTGCTTTTTTTTTCACTTTCTTTTCAGCAGGTTGTAACCTCCACGACTTTTTAATCCAAATTTAACATTTTATTTTTTATATAATTAGATCACAATTAATATGAATTTTAATATAATTAACTACTAAACTTTTACATTCATAATAACAATAACTACTAAACCGTATTCTCAACCACAATTACAATAATAGAACCTTTAAACCACAACAACAAAATTTTTGTATTACGGACGTTCTCAAATCTCAATTACAATCATAAAGACAACAGAA